GGCAACTAACATGATCAGGGGTTGGGAACAGGTCCCAGATGAAGAGAGGCTACAGAGACTGGGACTGTTCAGCTTAGAAAAGAGGAGACGGAGGGGGGACAGGATAGAGGTCTCTAAAAGCAGGGGTTGGGTGGAGAGGGTGCATTCAGAAAAGTTCTTCCTGAGTTCCCATAAAGAAGGACTAGAGGACACCAAAGGAAAGGAATGGGTAGCAGGCTTGAAACTAGTAAGAGAAAGTTGTTCTTGACAAAGCAAATAGTTAACCTGTGGAACTCCTTGCTGCAGGAGGCTGTGAAGGCTACAACTAGAACAGAGTTTAAAGGGAAGTGAGATCAAGTCATGGAGGTTGGGTCCATGGAGTCCTATTAGCCAGAGGGTAGGAGTGGTGTCCCTGCCCAAAGTTTGTGGAAGGCTGGAGAGGGATGGCACGAGACAAATGGCTTGATCACTGTCTTCGGTCCATCCCCTCCAGGGTCCCTAGGGTTGGCCGCTGTTGGCAGACAGGCTACTGGGCTAGATGGACCTTTGGTCTGACCCAGTACGGCCATTGTAAGCTCAGGGCTCAGTGTCGGGGGTCTCAGTGGACCCCCTTGATTTTCATGCACACCTGGTCCTGGGTGGCCAGGCTGGCAGCTCTCCTGCCCTAGACGGCCACTTTCCTGTGCCTAGTGCAGAGATCGTGGACAAGGTCCATTATGTCTGCACTAGCCCAGGAAGGTGCCCACTTCTTGCGGTCCTGGGCAAGCTCCCGGGAGCCGCCAGCCTGGGCCTGGGGAGAGGGCTTTCCTGTGCCTAGTGCGGAGATCGTGGACGAGGTCCACGATGTCCGCACTAGCCCAGGAAGGTGCCCGCCTCTTGCGGTCCAGGGCAAGCTCCCGGGAGCCGCCAGCCTGGTCCCGGCAAGAGGGGGTGGGCTGGGGGGCATCGGGTGGGTGGCTCTGTGCCGTGCCAGGTGCAGGGTCTGCTAGCTGGGTGCTGGCAGGCTTGCACCTGGCACGGGCACCGTAGCCAGCCCGTGCCCCTTTAAGGGGTCCGGGGCCGGGAGGGGGGCATAGAGTTTCCCTGGTGTTGGCCAGAGTGGCCACCAGGGAAACCTGGGAAGCCTTAGGCTCCCACTAGTTCGAACTAAAGGGCTACACAGCCCTTAGTTCGAACTAGCTAGTTCGAACTAGGCGTTAGTCCTCGTAAAATGAGGTTTACCTAGTTCGAACTAAGCGCTCCGCTAGTTCGATTCAAATTCGAACTAGCGGAGCGCTAGTGTAGCACCTATTAAAGTTAGTTCGAACTAACGTCCGTTAGTTCGAACTAACTTTGTAGTGTAGACATACCCCTAGTGAGTAATCCTAATCATAAACTAGTTCTCAGTTTGGAGCAGAATCACTGCCGTAGTCCTGGTCTCCCCTCTCACAGGGAAACTCTGTGGTGGCATTGGGAGGGTTGGGGGGAACCCGGCCTGCCCACTACTCCTGGTTCCAGCCCAGAGACCTGAAGATAGGGGCAACAGACAGTGTGTCCTCTTTTCCCAGTCTGGCAGCTTCTTCCCTGGGAACTTCCCCATATGATCCCTCCCAGTACCTTTCCTCTGGTACATGAGCAAGACAGTCTTGCTCCACCACGGCATTCTGCCTCGCTTGCAATCCTCACCCACAGCAATTTTTATTCTCAGATCTTGTGCTGCTGCCCACGCTGCAGGGAGAACTTTTTTGGGTTGGGGGCCACTGACCCACAGAAAAATCAGTCGGGGGCCATATGCAAGTGAAAAACAAAGAAACCCAAACAATCCTTCACTGACATGGCCCCCAACTGAAGAGAGAGACACTCCCCACATTCTCCTCACACACTGGAGTCTTGGAGGGCCCAAGCTAGTAGATTTTGTGTGCTCCTGCCCCACAGGGAGATGGAGGAGTAGGAACTGGAGAACCAGGGTGGGCTCCCCAATGCTCTAGACCTCTGTGGATATCTCCAGTGAACCCAAGTCACAGGCTGTTGTTGTAAACAGTAAGGGAGAGGGAGAAGAGGAGGAAGTGAAGAAATAGGGATATGCAACCAGGGGTCCAGCTGTGCTGCAAGCCAGGACCTGTTGGAGACTCCACCACAGTGAGTAGATTACATTGTTTGAGCCCTGCCTATTTTAATTAAACACCAGCAGGCCTTTATGGACTGCAGGTGCTCTTATTAGCCTGCTACTTCTGGCAAACTCTTAATTGGCCCTAGGTACCTGCCTGATTGTGCTGCACTAGGCTTGATCCTGGTTACTCAGGGAAGAGGAAACTGTTTATCTAGAGCCCAGCACATCTGCCTTCCATTAGAGTGCATCAGCCATCTGGTCTGGGTCTGTCACACACCATGTATTTGGGTGACATTCTAACCCTAGTTAACTAATTAAGCAAGCCATAAGGATTAGCTCAGATATTCTAGAAACATCCAACACATCAAACAGTTTTGGACTTTGCTTGTCAAATAACACTTATAATAAAAGGCATAGAGTCTTAAGAATGATGCATTGCAAAGTGAATTATTAAGTTACTCACTAGTTGATCTTCTTAGCCATATCTGCATCTTCATCTACATTTTCTCCCAATGAGCAGTTTTCCTTAAGATGTTTCATTCTTGCAGCTAGGCCCTGTATCATCATCTTGCACTGCTTACACTTGACACATTTCCCTCCTTCTCTCTCCCCCTCCTCCCCCCCGGGAACAAATTTCTTCAAAATATTCCCGGATAGGTTCTGGGCATAAAAAATAAACTATGAGCGTACACTTAAGTTTGAAGATGACACCAGGCTGAGAGGGGTTGCAAGTGCTATGGAGGATAGAGTCATAATTCAAAATGATCTGGACAAACTAGAGAAATGGTCTGAGGAAAATAGGATGAAGTTTAATAAGGAGAAATGCAAAGCGCTCCTCTTAGGAAGGAACAATCTGTTTCACACATACAGAATGGGAAATGATTGTCTAGGAAGGAGTCCTGAAGAAAGAGATCTAGGGGGTCATAATGGACCACAAGCTAAATATGAGTCAACAGTGTGACACGGTTGGGGAAAAAAAGCCAACATGATTCTGGGCTGCATTAACAGGACTGTTGTTAGCAAGACAGGAGACCTCATTCTTCTGCTCTACTCTGCGCTGATTATGTCCAGTTCTGAGCATCACATTTCAAAAAAGATGTGGAAAAAAGGAGAAGTTCTGGAAAAGAGCGACAAAAATGATTAAAGGTCTTAAAAACAGCTATGAGGGAAGACTGATGGAACTGGGCTTGTTTAGTTTAGAAAAGAGAAGACGGGGGGAGAGTGAACGACACAACATAATAGCTGTTTTCAAGTATCTAAAAGGGTGTTACAAGGAGGAGAGAGGAAAAATTGTTCTCCTTGACTTCTGATGATAGCACAAGAAGCAATGGACGAAACTTGCAGCAAAAGAGGTTTAGGTTGGAAATTAGTAAAAACTTCCTATCAGAGTGATGAAACACAGGAATAAAGTGCCTACGGAGGTTGTGGAATCTTCGTCACTGGAGCAGGTTGGATAGACATCTATCAGGGATGATCTAGAGCTGTGGTCAACAACCAGTAGATCTCAGGGGCTCCAAGAGTAGCTCTTGAGCCCTCTCTTAACTGCACACTGCGCAGTACATTTACATTAGATTTCCTCATTTGAGGAGCAGCTACTCACCGAGCAACAACACAGGTGAGTAGCTGCGAAGAATGGTGGGAGCTGGGAGGTTGAGAGGGCTGAAACACTCCAGCAAACTGACTGTGGCTTTCAGCTGAAAGTGGCTGCCCCGCGCTCCCGCTGATCGGCAGCTTCTCCTCTGCGCCTGCCCACATGGAGCTTGGTGCACCCTGGCTGAGCGCCATGGCCAACTGGCTGCGCAGCCCCCTCTCTTCCCCCCCGCCCGC